CAGTTAACCCAAGTCCTCTTTCAATTAACACTGTATCATTTCGCTTATGCAAGTACTTTATAACAAAGTATTCCGAATTCCTGCCTCTCTGTTCCTTGTAACTGTTGTCAACTATTTAAGTTTCATATAACCTATAATTATTGTATACATTGTTGCTATTATTATCTTATTCTATTTTTATTTATTTATTTTTTTAGAGACAGAGTTTCACTTTGTTACCCTTGGTAGAGTGCTATGGTGTCACAGCTCACAGCAACCTCCTGGGCTTAGGTGATTCTCTTGCCTTAGCTTCCCAAGTAGCTGGGACTACAGGCATCCACCACAGCGCCCAGCTATTTTTTTGTTGCAGTTTGGCCTGGGCCAGGTTTGAACCCGCCACCCTCAGTATATGGGGCTGGTGCCATACTCACTGAGCCACAGGTGCTACCTGCTATTAATTATTTTAAACAAATTTTTATCTGTCAGATTAATTTTAAAATGGCCAGAGGGAATTGCTCACACCACTAATCCTAGCATGTTGGGAGGCCCAGGTAGGAGGATTTCCTGAGGCCAGGAGTTTGAGACCAGTGTGGGAAACATAGCAAGACCCTGTATCTATAAAAATTTTTTTCAAAAAATTAGCTTGGAATGGGGGGCATGCCTATAGTCCCACCTACTTGGGAGGCTATGGTGGGTGGATCTCTTGGGCCCAGGAATTTGAGACTGCAGTAAAGTATGCTTGTACTACTGCACTTCAGCCTAGGCAACAGAGCAAGAAAGACCCTGTCCCTAAAAAATAGAAAGAGAGAGAGAAAGAAAACCAAGTACTGAATGATATCATTTTACTTTCATCTTTTCTTTCTTTAATACTACATGTTTCCTTGTCATTTACTTTCTTAAAATCAATTAATTTTTATTTTAAGACAGAGTCTCACTTTGTCACCCTTGGTTGAGTGCTGTGGCATCACAGCTCACAGCAACCACCAATTCCTGGGCTTAGGCAATTCTCTTGCCTCAGCCTCCTGAGTACCTGGGACTACAGGCCCAGCTATTTTTTTGTTTCAGTTTTGCTGGGCTGGGTTGGAACCCACCAACCTTGGTATGTGGGGCTGGTGCCCTACTCACTGAGCCACAGGCACTGCCCAGTGGGTTTTTTTTTTTTTATTCCTAGCATTCTCTTGTTTTTTTCTTAGTAGTTCCATCTCCTGATTATGTTACCTGTTGTTCTTGTATGTTTTGTCTTCTTTTTCCTTTAGAGCCTTTAGCTCTAATCATGGTTGCTTTAAATTTGTTTGGTAATTTTAACATTTCTGCTGTTTCTGAATCTGGTTCTTTTTTTTTTTTTTTTGAGACAGAGCCTCAAGCTGTTGCCCTGGGTAGAGTGCCGTGGCATCACAGCTTACAGCAACCTCCAACTCTTGGGCTTAAGTGATTCTCTTGCCTCAGCCTCCCACGTAGCTGGGACTACAGGCACTCGCTACAATGCCCAGCTATTTTTTTGTTGCAGTTGTCATTGTTTAGCTGGCCCAGGCCAGGTTTGAACCTGCCAGCTCTGGTGTATGTGGCTGGTGCCTTAGCTGTTTGGGCTGCAGGTGCTGAGCCTGAATCTGGTTCTTTTGCTTTCCCTGTCCCTTCAAACTGTATTTTAAAAGCCTTTTAGTATGCTTTGTAATCTTTTTCCTGTAAGCTAGACTTGAAAAAAGGAACTGAGATAAATAAGTCATTAGTGTGAGGTTTTAGGTTTATCCTTCCAGAGTTTAAATAAATAGTAAATTGTTATTACTATTTATTTTAGCTGTAAGTGTCAACAGCTAAAATATCCCCTGGTATTTTTTCTTGTCCTCCCTGTTGTCTTCAGGGTTCTCTACAGATTTCTTTTGTAAGGTCTGAAATGTGCAGCTCTTTCAGTGTATTCCACTGTTACTAAACAGAGCTGCCTAAGAGGTCTGCCCAGTCCTCCTGAGACACCTCGGAGGCCAGTATGTAGTGTTATCAGGCTGGACATCTGAACTAAACATCTGCCACTAACCTTGGGTGGCAGGTGTCCAACATCTGCAGGTGATGATTCACAGTTACAGAAAGGTTAAATATTGTACATATTATAATACTCTTACTTTGGGCTCAAGCAGTCCTCCCACCTCAGCCTCCTGGGCACCCAGCTTAATTTTCTGTCTTTGTAGAGATGAAGTCTAACTATATTATCCAGGGTGGTCTCAAACTCCAGGCCTCAAGTGATCTCTCACCTTGCCCTCCAAAAGTGCTAAAATTAAAGGCATGAGCCTATGTACCTGGCCTTTTCTTCAGGCTTATTTAGTTTTTTTTTTTTTTTTTTCTGGAAGAAAGCAGAGCAAACTACCAGATGTCCTGTCCTGATGTAATCACATGGAATGGGTTCATTTCCCCAAGCAAAAAGTTATAACAACATGTGATAGATATTTCATTAACCAGGGAAGCTCATTATGGACTCATTGTTCACAGTGCTCTTTGGAGACTGATCAAAGAGGAAACTTCTGGCATGTAAAAACAATCTGGGCTCTAAGAAGGAGAATAGACTTTCAGTACATCTTATATTATTTGTGTAAATACTTTAGGCACCATAAATCACTCATGTCACTAAGTTTGTGAGGTCCCTCCTAAATTCTCACTTCCCAGATACCACTGAAGGACAAACTTGTGAGCAGGCATTTCTAAGGATAAGCAGTCTTAGGCTTACTAATGTTAAACTTCTTTCTGTACACAAGGTATTAGGACTTTCTTTGAGTAAGTGACACAGATTACTTATGTGAGGAATAACCTGAAAAGCTCATTATATTCCCTGAAGCCACCAACAAGAGCTGTATGGGTATTCTGCTTTTACTTTTACTTTACCAAATAAGTAAATTGTAATTTCAGCATTGCTGTTCAGAAGCTTACCTCTGTCCCCTGTAAATGGACATCATGATCTTTTTCAGAGGCCATCAAAAAGAGGATTTATGTATCTCAGGGGTTCCTATGCTCAGGTGTTGGGATCTCATGCTACTGTGAACCTCATGGAGCTCAAAATGAGAGACAATGGATGGACAGGCTCTGGGGTGGCTATTTGAGAATTACTTCTTTCTGAAACTGGAGAAAGGGGATTTCATGTTCTTTTGGAGGACAGCACTAATGAATGCTTTGTATATTTTGTAACCATGGGACAAATCATGGAGCCACTGTGGACTTCAGTGAACTCCCTTGTAAATTGTAATTCCTAAACTATTCCTCAAAGTCATCAAGGCTTAGAGAGTACTGTTAATGTTTTGTGGGAAGGAGCTGTTCTGGCATCATAACTCAATCCTAGGAGTGCTAAAAATTGATAGAACCTGCCTGGATGTTTGTAAATGCAGTGATTTTGTGAAGATCTGTATTCTGCCTATATACATACATTTCAGTAACCTCCTACCCCCCATCAAATGGAACAGGGAGTAAAAAGAAACACTGAGTGCGTAATAAATAATACACAAACAAGTTCATATTAATACTTCTCTTAGAGGCGGCACCTGTGGCTCAAAAGGGTAGGGCGCCAGTCCCATAGGCTGAGGTGGTGGGCTCAAACCCAGGCCAGGCCAAAACCAGCAAATAAATAAATATAAAAGTTAAAAAATAAACTTTAAAAAAGTACTCAAAAATACTTCTCTTAAAGAATATTTCATTTAGTCAGTTGGATCCTGCTAATTCTAAAAGCCTACAGTACTTCAGGACAACATTGCCAATTGGATATTGATACAAGGTGGATTTCCACAGGCCTCTTTGCCTTTTGTGTGTAATCATAGAGAAAGGAAAAAAAATTAAAGTTCTTCATTTAAACCTTATACAGATTTGACTATTTCATGGGGTGGTGATTAATATGATACATTATGAGGCAGGAGATAGAAGCACTTTTCTTACAAAGAATTGCTGGACTTAAAATGAAAATATTTGTTTCATTTGTATAGCATTGTCATTGGAGAGCAATAAGACTTGAAGTGATTATAGTAAAAATGTAGAAGTAATTTCTACATATTTATGATGTGTTATGAGCACGTGAGTATGGGTAGAGATTCAGACTACTGATGACCAAGATAGAAACCAAACATTTGGATACAACAGAATCATATGTGAAATTTTAATGAATAGGTTATATATCCCCGGTGCTGTTAGTCTCACCCATTCTCCTGTACACATATGTGGGATGTTTTAGGACTCAGTGGCATTTGAGGATGTGGCTGTGAACTTCACCCAGGAGGAGTGGGCTCTGCTGGATCATCATCAGAAGAAACTCTACAGAGATGTGATGCAGGAAACCTTCATAAACTTGGCCTCTATAGGTAAGAATGAAATTATTTCCTTGCTTAGTCAATTAGAGAATAAGTATTTCTTGCTCATCAGCAAGGTTTCAAGATTTGGGATGTGGAAAGGCAATGCTTTCATTAATAAATCAGACATAATAGCAGCTCAGCATCGACCTAGCATTTAATAATTCTTCTGTAATTCCTAATAATTTACAATAATTTTTCTGGTCTGCATTTTAGGGAAAAAATGGGATCATCAGAACATTGAAGATCAGAAAAAAAACCAGGGGAGAAATCTAAGGTGAGTTATACTTAGAAAAAAAGTACTGTCTCATGAGAGAATCTTAGTGTGTCATTAAAATTTAAAAACAAAGTAAGCAAACAATTAAGCACAGTTTTATATTTGTTTATTTTTAGAAAATTTTTATCAAAAAGGTTTTCTTAAACATGGCATAGATGTTCAGTATTTGAATAATAGCTTGTCTGAAAACAATAATTAGAAATTTCATGTTCCAGATTTCACTGTTTAATAATTGCTGTGGTCATCTTCCAAAACATTGACTATATATACTTAAACATTCATTACATGTACTTTCCCAATTAATGATTGGGAAATCTTTAATAGTCATTACTCATAAAATTCTTAATAAAAATGCAATTATGTAATTATGTGCTTCTTTTTTTTTTTTTTTTACAGAAGTTATATAGTAGAGAGATTCTGCGAAAGAAAAGAAGCTAGTCCATTTGGAGAAAACTTCAGTCAAACTACAAATCTTAAACTGAAAAAGAGAACTCTTACTGGAGTAAAACCATATGAATGCAGTGTGTGTGGAAAAGTCTATATGTGTCATTCATCTCTTAATAGGCACATGAGATCTCATATTGAACACAGACCATATGGATATCACAAATATGCAGAGAAGTCATATGAATGTAAGGAATGTGGGAAAAGATTCAGCTTTCGAAGTTCATTTCGAATCCATGAAAGAACTCATACTGGAGAGAAGCCCTATAAATGTAAACAATGTGGTAAAGCTTTCAGTTGGCCCAGTTCCTTTCAAATACATGAAAGAACGCATACTGGAGAGAAACCCTATGAATGCAAGGAATGTGGGAAAGCCTTCATTTATCATACGACCTTTAGAGGACACATGAGGATGCACACAGGAGAGAAGCCTTATAAATGCAAAGAATGTGGAAAGACCTTCAGTCATCCCAGTTCATTTCGAAACCATGAAAGAACTCATTCTGGAGAAAAACCCTATGAATGTAAACAATGTGGAAAAGCTTTCACATATTACCAAACTTTTCAAATACATGAAAGGACACACACTGGGGAAAAACCATATCAGTGTAAGCAGTGTGGTAAAGCTCTCAGTTGTCCCACATCCTTTCGAAGTCATGAAAGGATTCACACTGGGGAAAAACCCTATAAGTGTAGAAAATGTGGAAAAGCTTTCAGTTTTCCCAGTTCCTTTCGAAAACATGAAAGAATTCATACGGGAGAGAAACCCTATGATTGTAAGGAATGTGGAAAGGCATTTATTTCTCTTCCTAGCTTTCGAAGACACATGATAATGCACACAGGAAATGGACCATATAAATGTAAGGAATGTGGGAAAGCCTTTGATTGTCCCAGTTCATTTCAAATTCATGAAAGAACTCACACTGGGGAGAAACCCTATGAATGTAAACAATGTGGTAAAGCTTTCAGTTGTTCTAGTTCCTTTAGAATGCATGAAAGGACTCATACTGGAGAGAAACCCCATGAATGTAAACAATGTGGTAAAGCTTTCAGTTGTTCCAGTTCAGTTCGGATACATGAAAGGACTCACACTGGGGAGAAACCCTATGAATGTAAACAATGTGGTAAGGCCTTCAGTTGTTCTAGTTCCTTTCGGATGCATGAACGAATTCACACAGGGGAGAAACCCTATGAATGTAAACAGTGTGGTAAAGCTTTCAGTTTTTCTAGTTCATTTAGAATGCATGAAAGAACTCACACTGGGGAGAAACCATATGAATGTAAACAATGTGGAAAGGCCTTCAGTTGCTCTAGTTCCTTTCGAATGCATGAAAGAACCCACACTGGAGAGAAGCCTTATGAATGTAAACAATGTGGTAAGGCCTTCAGTTGTTCTAGCTCTATTCGAATACATGAAAGGACTCACACTGGAGAGAAGCCATATGAATGTAAACAATGTGGTAAGGCCTTCAGCTGTTCCAGTTCTGTTCGAATGCATGAAAGGACTCACAGTGGAGAGAAACCCTATGAATGCCAGCAATGTGATAAAGCTTTCAGTTGCTCCCGTTCCTTTCGAATCCATGAAAGGACTCACACTGGAGAGAAACCTTATGAATGTCAGCAATGTGGGAAGGCCTTCAAGTGTTCCCGCTCCTTTCGAATACATGAAAAAACTCATACTGGGTAGTAACCCTTACCATACAAGCAACATGGGAAAGCTTTATTGTCTCATTACTTTTTGAAGACACAAAAGGACTCACCCCACAGAGAGACCCTGTGAATATCAAACATGGTTAACTCTCTAGGTGTAAATACTAGAAAGAACTCATAGTGGACAGAAACCTTATGAATGTAAGCAATATGGGAAGCCTTCAGTGGTCACATAACCTTTCAGGCAGCATGTGAAGGCACACTGGAGAAAAACCCTGTATGTGTAAAGAATGTGAACAAAAAATTTGTCTCAGTTTATTTGGAAATGAACAGATTCATGGTGGAGCACAACTTCTTGAATATAAGCAGTGTGAGAAAGCCTTTAGTGGGTCCACATCCTTACAAAAGATGTGAAAGAATGCACATTGAATAGAAATCCCATAAAAGTAAGAAATAACAATGTTTACAATTTTAACAAATCTTCACAAGATACTCCCTCTCATGTGAAACTTCAAACTCATGTAGAAACTCCCACTATAGAGGGATCCCATAAATGTAGATATTATGGGAAAGTATGGTACAAATTAATTCATGTATGTTGTTCCAGAAAATTCTCAATATAAAAAGGAATTATAAAGATTATACACGTATTGTCTTTTATCAGTTACTCATTCTGAAAATATGTTTCTGGACTATGGATTTCTATTTATTACTTTCAGTGATGAACAAACATTGAGGTGAGATAATTTTGTATGCCTTGGTTAAGGCAATAGTACATGAGTTTAATTTTAACAAATGCTCATAAGATACTCCTCTGAAAAAAATTAACACTAAAAAAAAATTTAGTGTTTTTACATTAAATTAGTCACAAAACTTTATTGTTCTTTTTTTTTTTTTTTTCAGTTTCTGGCTGGGGCTGGGTTTGAACCTGCCACCTCCAGCATATGTGGCCAGTGCTCTACTCCTTTTAGCCACAGGTGCTGCCAACTTTGTTGTTCTTTATCTGTTGGTTTCATGAATGAATTGGAAGTATATTTTTAGTATGGAAGTAGTTTTAATTTAAACATTTTTATTGTTCTATGAGTAATGGACCATTGAAAAATGACAATTTGGTAATTTGGGGGATTTTGCCTACTAGTCTACTAGCCTTGTATGGCATGTACTAGGTATCCCTTACCCATTTTATACACACACACACATACATATATACACAAGTGTGTGTGTGTGTGTGTGTATATATATATATATCATCTTTCTTTCATCTATCCCTTCTTTTGGGAAGGAGAACAGAGGAGTCTTACTCTGTTTTCCATGCTAAAAATTAGTCATAATAACTTTGTGAGTATGCTAAGCTTATAGAATATACTCTCATTTGACTTATTATTTTTCATTTTTTTTTTTGCTCTTTGCTATGTGTCATTTTCTTTTCTTTCTTTCTTTTTTTTTTTCTTTGAGACAGAGTCTCACTATGTCACCCTTGGTAGAGTGTCATGGCTTCACAGCTCACAGCATCCTCAAACTTTTGGGCTCAAGAGATTCTCTTGCTTCAGCCTCCCAAGTAGCTGGGTCTACAGGCAACTGCCACCTGCCCTGCTATTTTTTTTTGTTGTTGTTGCAGCTGTCATTGTTTTTTTTTTTAGCTGGCCCAGGATGGGTTTGAACCTGTCAGCCTTGGTGTATGTGGTTGGTGCCCTACCCATGCTACGGGTGCTGCCATGCTATGTGTCATTCTTTTCTGGCCGTGATTTAGATAATAGACTTTGCATTAAGATGAGAAACCTATGATAAAACAATATAATCAATAGAAGGAAATGGTTTTCCTGGATTGTGTTAAGTTAATATGGATAATGTGACATATATTTTTATTTAATATTTTTTTATTAAGTCATAGCTGTGTATATTAATGCTATCATGGGTACAAAGTGCTGGTTTTATATACAATTTGAAATATTTTCATCAAACTGGTTAAGTGACATATTTTCTACAAAATATCCTTTTAGGGTTCCATGTTATAATTTATTAGTAGCCTACTTATAACACATATGGAAGGCAGAAGAGAAGAAGGCATTTGCCAGGTTTAGTAGCTACAGAAGGATGCAAAGTGTCAGGGACACCAGCTTCTACCCAGTTTTCCTGATACTTTGCCCTGCCAGTCAAGAGTATTCTTAGAACCACCACTAACTGCTTTATTACCAAGTTTTCAGAGATATAGTTTTCCACAGAGGTGTCCACAGCTCTCAAAGATCCATTGTGATTTGAATTTTTCTACAAACTCCAATATGTCCACCAGGCAATTAATTTAGATTCTCAAGATGAAGAGTATTTCCTGATACTCTAAGTCACCTCATCTCTAGGTTGAAATTATCTATCAATTTATTTAGTAAGCACCTTTTTTTCTTTTTTAATACAGCCAGTGACTATGTGTTTCTGATTCCACCATAACAGCTACAATGGTACAGTCTCAAAGAACTACATGGGAGTTTGTTTTTCTACTGTGTTGAGCATTGACTGCACTGATTCATTCCTATAGAGTAAGAATAAACCCCTTTCTCATATTAAGCAGATTTTCAGTGTTTCCTATTACAGTTGAATGTAATTTCTCAATATATTTTAAAGTCTTTATCACTGTGTGTGATTAAAAATGATGTGCATGTTTTTGTTAAAAGCTTCTGTAGATGTTTCTTAAAAATACTTCATGTTTTAAAATAATGTGTATACTATCAATTATTATCTTTTTCCATTCCTGTGAGAATATATTAAAACATTCCATTATGACTATGGATTTTCAAATTAAGTTTGTGACTTTTGTCAAGTTGATCATTATTATTCTGAGTCAGTATTATCATGTACATAGAAAATCAAGTATTTCCCCCCTCAGGAAAATTTTTATTTATTTTTATTTTTTTGCAGTTTTTGGCTGGGGCTGGGTTTGAACCCTCTGCCTCTGGTATATGAGAGCCAGTGCCCTGCTCCTTTAGCCACAAGCATTGCCTGCCCTTATTATTTTTTTTTAATGTAGTTTTTTTTTTCAATAAAACCATTTCCTCATGCCCTAATAGCACTGAAAATGTAAATCATGATGGTTTCATTGTCTTCTTTTTTTTTTCTTTTTTTGAGACAGAGCCTCAAGCTGTCCCCCTGGGTAGAGTGCCATGGCGTTACAGCTCACAGCAACCTCCAACTCCTGGGCTCAAGCGAGTCT